ATATTTTCCCCAACCCTGTGAAAAGTTTCCTTCACCTTTTCTCCCTCCCAAAGAGTGATGGAAATTTACCAGATATTCCACTTGACTGGCAAAGATGGAGGCCAGGACACAGGCCTCTCCTTCTCACTCTGCTTCACCCTCGCCAATGGGTTCGGCACAGGTGGCTCACCGTTGCTGTGGTGTGCTGTACCACTTCTACCTGCACTGCAGGGGTGGGTCAGGAGAGCTTTTCTCCTTCCCGTCATTGACCCCTCTGCTCCCTTCTATATGTGGCTAACAGGCTGGCCTTCCTAGACATGCCTTTGTCTGGGTCCCTCTAGAGCTCACTCTGACTCAAAGTTCCGTTTTTTTGGGATCTGCTTACTTTGTGTCTGTTACCCAGACTGATAATCATACCAGTCTTCTCTACGCCCCCATCCTACCTTCAGTCTTTGGCCAAGGCCCGTGCGTTCTGCTCTTATCCCTATGCTGCCTGTGCAAGATAAACAGGCCTCAGTGGCTGGGTGACAAGAAGCTCTAGACTCCGGACCCTGCGCTGTCTTGGGCACATGTAGAATATCATTGTCGTCTCTGAGAAGTCATTTCTGATTCACCGTCGTGCTTCCAGAGGACGGCAGCAGGGGCTGTTGGCTGGACACTGTCCCACAAGCAACAGTTGAGCAAACGAGGAAGTAGAGGCAACACAACCATTTCCCAAAGAAATGTGTGCAGGCTCCTTGTGTCGCAGCATAAACGACACTTGGTGTTAGATTAAGGAAGCAGCGTTTAACTTACCATAAGTGAGAACTTTTCAATATTTGTCACTGTCTGCTGATAATTGACAGCTGTACTGGACAGCTGTCTTAGGTGTTGTGCTAAACTCCTCATACACGCAGTCTCATTTACTCCTCACACATAATTCTGTAGCTACAAGTGCTGTTGCCTTCGTTTTTCAAGTGAAGCTGAGATTCGGGTTTAGTGACTTCACAGAAAGTCATACAGGCAGTAAGTGACAATCAGAACTGCAAGTAGAACTGGTCTGAACCCAGAGCCCATCGTCTTACCTACTCTCTGCACTGCAGAGTGTCAAATGAGGTCAGATTAATCACCTTAACGGATGCTTCCACAGTCCAGCGCCGGGGGAGTTGTTTTGCTGACAGCAGCCCTGACACTGTGGCCTCAGTCCTGCCCCCACCTGCAGTGTGCTGCCGTCACACTGCACCCCAGGATGGCGGCCCAGCCACCAACAGGCCTTCCTCTGATGGCCTGAACCTATCATGCCAGGGCTGCTGACTCCTGGCCTTAACTGTGCTCACCTCCTCAGAGTGCAGCCTCCTTTGAAAGTGTCAGGGCTCTTTCATCTCTCCTTTCCCCCCCAGCACCCACTTTGGCTACTTCACACGGTGGAGATCTATTCTGGCCACTCTGTCACAGCTGGCCCCAAGGGGTATCTGACACACGTTTCCTTCCAAAATCCCAGGATAGAATATGTAACAGTGACTCCAGAAGGATTCCGGTACCGGGGCCAAATCTTCCCTACTGTGAATGGACTTTTCCGATGGTTTAAGGATCACTACCAGGATCCTGTACCAGGTGAGTTCTGCTCTGAGTTCTGGGGTATACTCAGAGGGACAGGCAGGCCCTGAATCAAGGTGATCACTGGCCACCAGTGGAAGGGACGAGGCCTGGGCTATCACTGAGGCTGTCTCACTCCTGCTCCAGGCTCCTGGCATCGAGGAGGTCCTCCATCCACTTTGCTGAGCAGCTTCCCTTCTTCCCACCCACCTCAGAACCTTCTCCAGCCCCTGCACTGTGAAAACAGGAACCGGTTGCTGGAGGGACATAACTAACTTTGCCTGTTCCTGCAGGTATCACCCCCAGTAGCAGCAGCAGGACCCGGACACCTGCTTCCATCAATGCCACCCCAGCCAACATCAACCTTGCAGGTGAGCTCACGTCTGAGACTGGGAGCCAGAGAGATGGTGCTGGAAGATTTCGACCTCTAATGTGCCCATCCCCCACCTCTGTGCCTACAGATCTGACACGGGCTGTGAATGCCCTGCCTCAGAACATGACCTCGCAGATGTTCAGTGCCATTGCAGCCGTGACAGGCCAAGGACAGAACCCTAACGCCACCCCAGCCCAGTGGGCCTCCAGCCAGTACGGCTACGGCGGCAGTGGAGGGGGCAGCAGCGCTTACCACGTACGTGCCTTGGGGACAAGCCTCCCTGCAGAGGGTGGAGAAGAGCGAAAGGGAGCGATCACCCTCTACCAACCCGTGTCCATAGACTGGCCTCTGGCAGTGTCTACCCCAGGGGGCTTCATATGTATAGACGGGGCCACCACAGACTGAGGAACTGTCTCCAACACATGTTCCTTTTCCTCAGGCCCCCTTGAGGGTAAAGGGAGTAAGAGAAGGTCTGAGCTTTCCATGGCCCTTTGGGATCTTTGGGACCCTCAAGTGGTCCGTACTGGTGGCCTCTGTTGTGCCGGGTCCCATCCTGCTGGCCTCTCTCTGCCACTTGGGACCACACATTGCTCAAGAAATGGTCAGCTAGAAAGCTCTGTGCTGAGCCCTGGTTCTCAGCTTGCCAGCAGTTCATAGCAAGGCCACATAAGCCCCCAAACCCATCCCCATTTAACTGTTCACCCTCCTCCAGGTGTTCCCAACGCCAGCCCAGCAGCCAGTGGCCACCCCACTAATGACCCCCAGCTACTCCTACACAACCCCAAGCCAGCCCATCACCACACCGCAGTACCACCAGCTACAGGCCAGCACCACCCCGCAGTCTGCCCAGGCCCAGCCCCAGCCCTCCTCCAGCGCTCGGCAACGGCAGCAGCAGCCAAAGTAAGTATGCAGTTGGTGGCACAGAGCATACGGGGCAGGTGTCATCAAGAGGCCAAGGGGTTCAGCATAGGCAGGTCGCCTGGACCTTGTGAGAGCCGTGACCCAGGTGATGCCCCCAGAACCACCGCTTTCTGGGAAAAGACAAAAAACATGAGGTCCGTTTCTGCAAGGATGGACGAGCAGCAGTGTTTGGTGGGAGGGCTTCATTCTGATGAGGATGCGGAGATTCCTAATCTCAGAGGCCCCTTCTCGCTCCCAGGTCCAACAGCCATGCAGCCATCGACTGGGGGAAGATGGCAGAGCAGTGGCTACAGGAAAAGGAAGCAGAGCGGCGGAAACAGAAGCAGAGGCTGACGCCTCGGCCCTCTCCCAGCCCCATGATCGAAAGCACCCCCATGTCCATTGCTGGCGATGCCACCCCGCTCCTGGACGAGATGGACCGGTAGGGGGCCTGCTCCTAGGACTCTGGTTACCTCTGAGGCTGGGAGAGCCCGGCCGCCCACTGCCTCACTCCCTGCCCCGCCTTTTCTGTCCATAAAGTGACGTGAGTTGACGTTCTCTCTGGTGGTCAGCCTGGATGGGTGACAAGCTGGATGGCCTTGGGAATTTGAGCTCAGTGTACGCTAGGCGACGATTCTCCCACTCCAGGCCTTCGCCAACCACCTGTCCCGGGACCAGGCTGGGCGGGGAGTGTGGCGGGAGGAAGAAGAGGAAGACGAGAATGAGAGTGGAACAGTTTTGTATTCTCCCTACAAGCCATTTTGAGCTTCTGCCCTCACCTGACTCTGGGCTGTGACCCCGGGGCACCAAGCTCAGCACATGAGTCTCCCCCAGCTCTTGTGGGGAGAGGAATGCTATTTATTCAGTTTGGGGCAGGAGGGAGAGGAGGGAAAGTATTTCTGACCCAGATGCCAACAGCTTGGGTGGCTAACAGAGCAGAATTGCAGGGGACGCAGGGGAGCAGTGCTGACCTGCCCAGCCCCCGCCTGGCCGCCTTCACCCACCTGCTGCTGCCTCCGCTTCCTGCCTGTCATTTGAATAAACAGTGTTTCTACAGAGCATTTGGCAAAGCCTTTGTCTGCAACGCTCCGGCTCTTGAAGGGTGGCTTTCCAAGCTGGGTTTGGAGCTCCGACAGCTCCCCCTGACTCCTTCCAGGCCACCGGAGAGGCAGTGACTCAGAACAGCAAGCAGATTCTGTATCTGACCACCAAGGGCCAAATCCCGGCTCCGCTTGCCAGCCCTGCGCCCCGAGGGAACTCTTGTTGTCTCCCAGGCAACCATCCTCTCCCTAGGGTATAGGGTGAGGCTAGGCTAGCGAGATCTGCCGCCTCCGCCTCACTGGGGCAGCCGAGGCAGCCGCAGAGGCGGAGGATGTGTGAAAGCGCTCTGCCAAGGGGAAGGCTGCCGCCTCATCAGCCCTCTGTGCGCGTTAGCCGCTCTCGCTGCGCTCTCACACGCCCGCCCCATCTGCCCTGCCTACTAGCCTCCTCCCGCACAGTGAAGAAGGGCCATGAGTAAATTTGGGGTCTCAGCTTGAGCCCCTGCACCTCTTCCCCTGCTCTTTTTGCCAGCTGAGCCTCAGCCCCTGATATTGCCTCTACACACAAGTCCTCCAGTATGTCTGCCCCAGGGAGGGCCCCTTGGTCACCTGCTCCCACACACACGCGCCCTGGTAAAGGACGTGCTGGGATGTCGTGGGGGAAGCCGGTCCCCCTCTTCCCTGCTTGGGGCCGGCCAACGTCCTGGCCCTGTCCCCTTCCCCTGGCCCCACCTCTTTTTGTTTCAGATTCCTGGTCTCCTGTGTTCCTTCAGAAGGGCCACCTCCCCCAGCTTTGCAAATCGGTGCGAGGAAAGTGAGGCTCTCCCCCTCCCTTTCCTCTACTTGGGGCTCAGTAGCAAAATCAGAAAAGGTCACTGCTGCCCAAAATTAGTGAGCTTCCCATCTTGACTTCATCCTGTCATTCAAGATCTCTTTGGCTGTTGGCAAGAGTTAGGAGGGAAGGGCTGGTCTTCTGCGAGGAACTCCATTCTGTTCCCTTCAGCACAAAGGTCTCAAAGGGCCTAGCAGGAGCTGGGACACGCCAGCTGGGAAGATTATGTTCCCTTTGGTGCCACCAGCATCTTCCTAAGGGCCACTTAGAGGAGGGAAAGGCCAGGCACAGTGGCACAGAGTGGGTTAAAAGGTTCAGTTTATTAGGGGTATCACTGCAGACAGTACTGCCTGTCCCCGAGTGGATTTCACACAGACCGGTCTCCCAGGAGATGGGACGCCTCCTTCCCACTGCACCCAGCTGTGCTCCTCTCTTGCCCTGAGCCTAGGATGTTACAGAGAAGCAGGCTGTGCCCCTCCCCTGCCCTCCCTCCTGCCTTCCCATGGACTGCCTCCTGAAAGATGGATTGCCCTTCAGAAACCCCTGCAGCTCCCCCCCAGCCCCTTGGCTCCAGCCGTGTCCAGAGCCCACACCCTCCCCACAGAAGTGACAGGTTGGAGGGAGAGAGAATAGCAGCAGGGGGTCAGCTACAGGCTTGATCTCGTTTATTCTTCACCCTGGATGCCCTGGCCTCAACTGAGATTGGGGTTTGATGCTGGGGGAGATTTCCTCTTGACCTTCTTGATTGGCGAGGCCTTCGCCCTGGGTTTCTTAGCCTGGGCCATGTTCTCTCTCTTCTTGGGCAACGAAGAATCCACAATATCCTCGCTGGAGGGTTCCTCCCGCCCGAGGTCATTGTAACTGTCCTCACTCTCCAGGTCTTCCCGGCTGTCTGGGCTCGACTATGACATCCTGGTCAACTCTCTTGGGCTTATTGATCGGGTCAAGTCTGGAGGTGAAGATTCTGATTTAACCGGGCTTTTCTTCTTAACCAGTTTGCCCTTGGCTTTTTTCTTCAGCTTCGCCTTCTCATCTATCTCCTCCTCCTTGTCTTTCTCTTTCTCTTTTTTCTTCTTTACCTTCTTGATCACCTTGTTGCCCTGGGACTTCCCTGTGGGGCTCTCCGAGCGCCAGATAGTGATGGGAGCTGCCGAGTCCTGGGTACCTGCGACTGCGCCCTTGCCTGCATCGGCGGGTTTGGTGGAGGGCCCCACCCGGGTCGGGATGGGAGGCTTGCTCTCTTCCTCCTCCTCCTCCTCCTCCTCCTCCTCTTCATTCAGGTCGTCTGCCCCACAGTCATGGTGGATGGGATGGTGGATCACTGCCACGGAGACGGGCCTGTAGCTTTTGCACCTGCGACGGAGGGGGACGGGGGAAGAGAAGATGGACAGAGAGTGGCGGGGTGGGGGGTGACCCCTTTAGTGCCGCCCCTGTCAGCCTGCCGGCACTCACCAGCCGTACCAGAACCGCTGCACACACTCTTCCTCTGGGATGAGCTCAAAGCAAGGGGACTGGATGATGTTGACACATGTGGAGCCCACATCTCGGGAGCAGGTTGGGCCCGCGCCTCGGGAGCCGCTGCTGGTGGTCTTCTCGGAGCAGTCCTTCAGCCTGCCACACAGAGGGCTCCGCCTTGCTCCCGGGCCTCCACGATTCCCGGGGGCCCCGGAGGGAGAAGCCCGAGGCACAGCTGGCTTCTGCCGGGCTGAGCCCGGGCGGCCGAGACACCTTCCCACGGCTCTGGAGCAGAGCAAGGTTTACAAACCCGGGCCCGGGCCGAAGGGGGGACCCACACGGGAAGTGTGGGCCTGGCTCTGCCCAGGAGTCTGTCCTGGAGTGTGGGTCCCCCAGCGAGGAGGGCCCTTACCTGGAGTCACAGTTGCAGTGGGTGATAGAGTGCAGGTGCAGGCTGCAGTGGCCGCAGTCGGAGGCAAAGGGGTGGATGATGTGCCCGGTGCACTGCTTATGCTTCCGGCAGCACCGCTCCAGGTCCTTGAATTCACCTGCGAGGGCACGAGTCCGGTCACACCGGCGGCAGCGGCACCCCACGCCTGGGTCTCCCCTCCCACAGCTCAGTCTAAAGGCTTCACCAGATGCACCCACTGTCCCCGCCTCCTCCGGCAGCTTTCTACTTCAGGGGGGTACCCCTCCAGTGGGAACTACACACCCCTCTTCCCCCTCAGGCCCCCTGCGCCATCTGCCTGCCTGCCCTTGCGCCCCACAGACCCCCAGGAAGGTGTCCTACCGAGTCCCCCGTGCTCCCCTGTGACACCCGCCTCCTCCGCTCCCTGCCTCCTCTGGGAGCCTATCCTCCCCCGGCCGCCTGGGTCGTGGAAGGCCATCGGGCCGGCACGCTGTGGAGCCATGTGGCAGACAGGAGCACCCCTCCAGAGTCCCCAGCCTGCCCTGCACAGGCCAGGAAGCCCATGTCCCCTGCCCCACAGCCCCGGAGTCACTCCAGCCCGAGACCTGCTGTGGAAGGCACATTAGGCCCTGCTCCTCAGCCTCTCCTGACTCTGGTGCTTGCTTTCTCTCCTCCCGACCTCTCCTCCCCCTGACACCTTCCTCACTTTCTCGCTTCTCTCTCCGCATGCTCACCCTTCATTCTTTCTCTGCTCCACACTCATCAAGGCCCCATTCCCCATCCCATCTCTTCCCGCTCCCAGGCCTCAGCGTCACAGGCTTGAAACACCGGCCCCCAGCCTGACCCCTTCCGCCCCCTGTAGGCAGCACAGGGCCCAGGGCACGGGGGAGAAGCTGCTGGGGGAAGGATCTGGGACTGGGAGAAAGCCCTGGAGAAAGGCTCCATGCCTTTTGCTCAGGTGAACATACGCCCTGGCCACACTGGAGTCCCCCGGCCTCTACCCCCACCACCTCCCCTCTGACCCTGCCTGAGACTCCAGTCTACCAACGGCTCTCCCTCAGGCCGCCATCCAAAAGGTGAGCCCGCAAGTGACTCCATGTGCCTGATGCACTCCAGGACAGCCTGGTATGGGGTCCTCTGGCTGGCTTACTCCCTCCAGACAGGCCAGTAGGACTGAGCCTTTATCTAGCCTCTACGAGGGGTGGAGCTGGACAAAACCTCACACCTGTCAGGAGTTAACCCAGGCTGGGGGTGTGTTACTCCAAGAGCCTTAAAAGTACTTGAGGGGTGGGGCATCTGGGTGGCTCAGTCGGCTAAGGTCTGACTTCAGCTCAGGTCATGATCATGATCTCACACTTTGTGAGTTAGAGCCCCCCATCAGGCTCTCTGCTGTCACCATAGAGCCCACTTCAAATCCTTTGTCCCCTTCTCTCTCTACACCACCCGTGTGCTCACTCTCACAAAAATAAACATTAAAAAAATCCTTGAGCGGCACCTGAGTGGCTCACTCAGTTAAGTGTCCAACTCTTGATGATCTTGGCTCATGATTTCACAGTTGATGAGATTGAGCCCCGAGTTGGGCTCTGCGTTGACAGTGCAGACGGAGCCTGCTTGGGATTCTCTCTCCCTCTCTCTCTGCCCTTCCTTGTCCTGCACACACATCTCTCTCTCTCTCTCAAAAATAAGCATTATTTTTAACTTTTTTGAGAGAGAGAGAGAGAGAGAGAGAGAGAGCATGAGTGGGGGAGGGGCAGAGAGAGAGAGAGGGAGACAGAAACCGAAACAGTCCTAGGCTCTGAGCTGTCAACACAGAGCCCAATGTGGGGCTTGAACTTGGGAACAGTGAGATCATGACCTGAGCCAAAACCGGACACCTAACCAACTGAGCCACCCAGGTACCCCAAAAAATAAACATTTTTTTAAAAGTACTTGAGGGGCACCTGGGTAACTCAGTCAGTCAAGCATCCGACTTCAGTTTAGGTCATGATCTCACAGTTGGTGGGTTTGAGTCCCACATTGGGTTGTCTGGTATCAGCATAGAGCCTGCTTTGGATCCTCTTTTTCTCCCTCTGCCCCTCCCCTGCTCAGCTTTCTCTCTCTCACTCTCTTTAAAATAAAACATTTAAAAACAAGAAGAATAAAAATAAATTTTAAAAAAGTACTTGAAAGATGAGGAAACAGCAGCTTGGTGTGAGGTTTGCCCCACGTTCCTCCATCTTTCCCTTCCTCCACCAGGCTGTGAAGGTCCCAGGTCCCCTGTACACCCCTGACCCGCTTGATGGCATCCCTTTTTCCTTCTCCCATGCCCCTTCTCCATCCCGGGAGGAATAAGGTATGTAAGGCCTTGGACCGCCACCACCACCACCACTCTCTTTAGCACTGCTGGACTGACTGAGGGGCAAGAGGCAGCATAGTGGCAAGTCAGACTTGAACTTGTAGTCAGACGGGCCTGGATACTAGCCTTGGCTGTCACTAGCAGGATGTCCAAGGGCAAGATACTTCTCTGAGCTTTCATTTCCGTATCCACCAGATGGGGATGGCAGTAATACCTAACTTTGCAGGATTTGGGGGAGGACTCTGTTCACATATGTCAGAGAAATTTGTGCATCATGAAGTGTTTTGCAAAAGACAGGGGTGGGACGCCTGGGTGGCTCAGTCACTTGTGTCCAACTCTTGGTTTAGGCTCAGGTCATGATCCCAAGGTTCATGGGTTTGAGGCCCGTGTCAGGCTCTGTGCTGACAGTGCAGAGCCTACTTGGGATTCCTTCTCTCTCTCTCTCTCTCTCTCTCTCTGCCTCTCTCTCACTCTCTCTCCCCCTTTGTCTTAAAATAAATAAACTTAAAAAAAAAAAAAAAAGGAGGGGGACGGTGGCCTCTAGGAAGGGGCTCTCCCTGCCTGGCGGGAGTAGGGGACGGGGTGGGGCCAAGGGCAGCTGGGTGACCCCTTTCAGAACGAACACTTCCCTCCCTCCTGCCTGCCATCCGGTTATCAGCTTTCCCAACTGAGGGGTGGTGGGGAAGCCTGGGGCCAGAGAATCCCTGGACCCACCTTCGGAGAAGGTAGATGTATCAGTGCTAGACGCCACGCCAGCCAGCAGGTGTCCTCTCTCCCAGCTGGGTAACCTGTTTACATCTGAGAGAGTACAGAGTGGCAGCAGCAGCAGCACCCCTCCCCTCTCCCCCCTCCCCCAGCCATCCATTCATCAAACATTTCCTGAGAAACTCTACCAGCCCCCTGGAGATGCAGAAATTAAATCACCCAACAGTCCCTGCTCTTGAGGGGCTGCGGGAGGGGTGAGGAGAGGGACGCCAGTAAACATCCACCAATAAAATGACATAAATCAGAGTATCCGATCCAGACCGCTTTCCTGAGCACTTCGTCAATATCGTCTTGGGCATTCCCAAAACAGAGTGGCACGTCGCACACAAACCTGTCATCTTCTCCCTGCCTGCCATGAACCATCTCCTCTTGTCTCTTCCATTTCAGAGAGGAATGGGCACCTCAGCTAGGAATCTAGGGATCATTCTTTCCCTCACCTCTACACCGACTTGATGACCCAAGTCTTGCCATACCTGCCTGTCCCGCACAGCTACCTCTATGTTGGTTCATTATCTCTCCGACAGCTGCAGGAGCCTCCTGCCTGACCTCCCTGCCTTGTTTCCCTGCCCTCATCCAGTCCTCACAATGCGGTCAAACTGAGTTTTCTAGACTACCAACTGGTCCACTACGTTCCTTCTGGGTGATAGCATTCCGCTGCCTTCAGGACGCGGTGCACAGGGGCCTAACTCAAAACTCACAAGTGATGCTCATTTGTACAGAATCCTCTCAGTCCTGCGGGCTGAGGAACTCCCTCGCCCTTGTGGCACAGGTGGTGGGGTTCCAGGTTGGGCACCCAAGCAGCTGAATGGGGGAGGAAGGGAGGGGGAAAGGGAGAAAGGAAAGGGAGAAGGGAGCAAGGCAGGGAAGTCTCCTGGGAAATGCCGCTCTGGCCCCGCCCACATCTGGAGACCATTGTGATGTCACGCGTAGAACCGCCAGACTCCCTCCCCTCGGAGTCAATGGAACCGCCCGCTCCAGCCTGGCGACCGGCTGGGTGCTGGACCAGGGGCTCCAGCCGGTCTCCGCATTTCTTGGGCGGCGGCCGGGGCTCCGGCTGCGACAAGGCAACGCCTTCCAGCCTACCAACTAGGGCTTAGCAGCTCTGGCTCCAGACGAACCCGCAGGCATTCTCTAGGGCCTCAGCACCCCAGTCCTCAATCATTGGTCCACGGCTCGGCGTGAGCCCGCCCCCAGGCCCTAACATCGCCCCACCCCAGCCCCTGGCCCCGCCTCCTTCGTCAGCCTCTTCTCAGCTCTACACCCTCCTTGTGTGCCACACCCCCAGCTCGAAACCCATCCCCAAACTCGTGCCCCGCCCCTTCCTTACCGGCGCTGCTCTCGTCCAAGGCGCTGGTATTGTCCTCAGTATTTTCTTTAGTCCACCTTTCAGTCGTCAGTGTCGTCCGGACCCACATCGCTCAGCCCAGCTCTTCGTCGCTACGAGACTCCTCCTCGCAGAAGTCCAATCCTGAAAACCCCGATCTCCGCTTCGCTCCGGTCCGGCCCTTAACTCTGCCTCATGCTTGCCCAATCCCTCCCTCCCTCCACCCTCCCCCGGCTCTGCGTTGTGTTAGCCCAATCTAAACTTCAGCTGCGCTCTTCATCCGGGGCCTCCCAGCTCCTTCCAGGCCCTTTTCTGTCCCACCTTTAATTTTAGTGCCTCCCTCTTCTCTCAGGCCTAAACCTTAGCTCGGCCGCTGAGGCCCAGCCCTCAGTCCCATTCCTGGTTCCCAGCTCTCAGTCCTACCCCCAGACTTTAGCCCCGCCCCTATCTCCGTTCTTAGCCCCGCCCCAGCCATTCTCTCAACCTCAACCTTCCGCCGCAATCCAGCCCCTCCCAACCCTTCCGAACCCAAGCGCTGCCCTGAGCCCCGCCCGCCGCCCCCCCCCCCCCCCCCCCCCCGCCCCAGCGCCGCCGTCCGGCTTTTCCGAGGTCCGTCCCGGTCCGGAACAAGGTAGTCCCCGGCTCGCTCGCGTTCGCCCGATCTCTCTCTCTGCCCTCAAGGCCCTCCACAGGCGTCCAAGGCCCACCTGTCAAGGTGAGGACTTGATGTCGGCTCTCAGCCCCTTGTGGCGCCCCCCACCCAGCCCCTTCCCAGCGTTCCTTGCAGGTCCCCACAGGTGCCCTGTCCCACAGACTTTAGCGGCCAATAAAAATGTCCACGTAGAACCAGGGTCTTGGTTACAATTCCCCCCAATCATTAAAATAATTGAGGTTTTTGAGCGCTTCTGCGGTGTGTTAGTTCGTAGTGCTTGATCTTACTCCTTCCGCAGCCTCGTGGGTCTCCAGAGGCTTGAGGGGGAGCAGGGCCGGCTGCAGTCATAGTAACCTACTCGAGGCACACTACGCAAGCCCCTCACACTGCACATGCATGTATCACACACGCTGCACACATACACAATCTCATCGAGCGTGGACTGATGCCATATGCACACATGCACATGCTTAGCCTGGGCACACTGAAATCTCAGCTCCCACACTCTGTGCAGCAAACATCCCACAGCGGCACTGCGGTGCAGGCTTCAAACACACACACACACACACACACACACACACACACACTGAGCACTGAGTTACCGGCTCTGGGCAAGAACGGCAAGACAAGGCGTGACAACCACAGTCCTGTTAGGGAAGAAGGATGGAAAAAATACTTCTCTTGAGGGGAACACAGTGAGAAGTGATTGAGGATGGACAGTGGGGACTTACACGGGGGGCCTCCTGACTCAGAACATGCCTTTTTCTTTTTGAAGAGGGGAAAAAATGGGCGGTTTTTCTTTTTTCTTTATTCAAAGTAAGCTCGAGGCCCAACATGGGGCTTGAACTCAAGGCCATGAGGTCCAGAGTTGCATGCTCCACCAACTGAGTCAGCCAGCCAGTTTTGTTTTGTTTTGAATTTAGTAATTTAATCCTGTTTTAAAATGTACAGTGAGGGGTGCCTTGGTGGCTCAGTTGGTTAAGCATCAATGACTACTTCAACTCAGCTCAAGATCTCACCGTTTGGGAGTTTCAGCCCTGTGTCTAGCTCTGTGCTGACAGCTCAGAGCCTGGAGCCTGCTTCAGATTCTGTGTCTTCTCCTCTCTCTGCCTCTCCCTCAAAAATAAACATTAAACTTTTTTTTTAATGTAAAATGATACTACTCATACATTTATGTTTATATCATTAATGTAGTTAAATAACACATCTGAGTAAGAGCCAAGCCCACGCCCACTCTGGGCCTTCTGGTCAACCCAAAGAGCATCCCAAACTCAGCCACTCCTTACTGTGTTCCCCTCAGAGAAATATTTTTTATTTGTTTTATTTTATATTTTCTTAATGTTTATTTTTGAGGAGGGGGAGGAGTAAAGTGAGAGGGGGATAGAGGATTCTAAGCAGGCTCCATTCGGACAGTAGAGAGTGCGATGTGGGCCTCGAGCCGTGAGATGGTGACCTGAGCAGAAATAGGACGTTTAACCAACTGAGCCACTCAGGCACCCCCAGAGAAGTATATCTTAAAGGGAAGATAGGAAGAGGATGGAAAAGAAGAGTATCCAATGGAAGAAATTTGGGGATAAGCACCAAGTAAGAGGACACAGTTGGGGATAAGGAACCAAAGGAAAGAGCTCTCAAAACCAAACCCTGAGAGGGGCGCCTGGGTGGCTCAGTCGGTTTAACATCCGACTTCGGCTCAGGTCATGATCTCACGGTTCGTGGGTTCGGGTCCCGCGTCAGGCTCTGTGCTGACGGCTCGGAGCCTAGAGCCTGCTTTGGGTTCTGTGCCTCTCTCTCTGCCCCTCCCCGCCTCAAGCTCTATCTCAAAAATAAATAAACATTAAAACAAAAACAAAACTGAGAGTCCAGGACAGCCCTCCAAATCTGGTTCCTGAGCTCCCAGCCTTTCTGAGCCCTCCCCAGGGGTCAGGGATGGCCAGAATCCCGCAGAAAACTCCAAGACAGCCATACATCCCTGCCCATTCCACATCCCTCGCCCCCAACAAAGGACTCCAAACTGCTAATAACAGAGATTTTAATGCATAAGGCACAGTGTGAGGCTGGGATCATTAGCATCCTCATACTCAAGGGGTCCAGCAGGCTAAGCAAAAGCAGCAGGGACTACCTCCCCACTGCTGGGCAGCCTGGAGAGCCCCGGGGCTGGGGGCGGGGGGGGGGGACATCTAGTCTTTGGCATGGTGCCTGGGGCAGGAAGTGACTAGCATGGTCCCTGCTACCCCTCCAGGGGTACCGCCAAGAAGGGGCAGCTCTTTGGTCTGGAAAACCAATCAGTGCAAACGTCCAGGGTGGCACTCTAGGGCAGTCAAGGTGGCAAAGTGCCCCAGGGCTGGCCAGCCGCTCGACAGTCCCCTTACCGCTCACGGGCAACACGTGGGCTTCTTCCTGTTGGCAGTTAGGTAAAGGTTGCTGTCATCACTGTTGATGCCTGAAGAAGGGTGGAAAATAGGTGAAGCGGGGATTAGAGGTCCCCCGTGCTCTCCGCCACCCTCATCCAGCCAGGCACTCACGGACAACATCCCCAATGCGCCGGGCCCCCGATTTCTCCAGCTCAGCCAGCACGTTTGCCTCAAAGGTCAGTGCCGCCACACGGAAGAAGAATTCCCGGACATTTTCACCTGACACATGGAGCAAATGGGTGCTTAGGGGCAGTTCCAAGCCTGGGGTCATTGGGCACAGCGGAAGGTAGAGGGGCGAGAGGCCGGGCAGGCAGGAGCGTCACCACAGAGGACCTGAAGCCACGGACTCACCCGTGAGGGACGAGACGGCCCAGTACTCAGCCTTCATCTCTTGGGCCACCTTGAGCGCATCTTTCTCCATTAGCACATACTGAGCAGGAGTCTGAGAGAAGGGCAGAGTCAGATGGCAAGGCGGGGGGGCATCCCCTCACCAAGATGGAAGTACCCCCTGCCTGGCACACTTACACTCAAGTCCTTCTTGGAACCCACGAGGAAGAGAAGCACATTGGAAGGGTCATTCTCCTTGAGTGCGTCAGCCAGCCACTGCCTACCATAGAGGGCAGACGATCAGGGATGAGTGAGCTGGACAGGCCCCGCCTGCTGACACACGAAGGCCCATTCCCCCCTCTCTGGTCCTCGACGCTTTCTTCTCCTTCACCGCCAATGCACCTGACCCCCCCTCGTTTCGGAACCCTCTCTTCCCGAAGCCCCCATTATAGTGCAGCATCCCCACGTACTTGGTATGTTCCAGGGAGGCCACATCATTCAGGTTGAAGACAATGATGATGGCTGGAACAGTGGCAAAAACAGCTGACATCGCTGGCTCATTTCCCAGATCCCCCCAGTCCAGGATGAGAGGCTGGGAACACCCACCCGCCCCGCTTCACCCTTACCTTGAGCTCCTCGGTAGTAGGTTGATGCAATGCATTTGAACCTCTCCTGTCCAGCAGTATCCCAGCTTGGAGGAAGCAGGGGGTAAAACACAAGTATGTGGGAGGGGGCTGTGAGGGGGGGTGGAAGTGCTGGGGGCAGGGATGGCTGGCAGGTATAGAGAAAGCACTCACAGCTGCAGACTGAAGGGGACGCCCAACACCTCAAATCGTTCCATCTCAAAGTCCACTCCAATGGTGGCCTTGTAATTCTTATCAAAAGTATCTTTGCAGAACCTGTGGGAGTACCAGATGCTCTGGCCCTGAGCCCAGCCCTCCTGGCTAGGTCTGGCCAAACCCTGCCCAGCCCAAACCAGCCCAGCTAGAGGTGCCTCCTTACCTATTAATGAGACAAGTCTTCCCCACGGACAGGTCCCCCACCACAATGACTTTGGAGATCTTAAACCTGCAGGACACAAAGGTGGGCAGGAGGAATGAGCACTCCCTCTTGCAACCTAGGGAGTCTCAACGTTCTCTACGAGCTCTATAAAGTCAGCACCCAGGCTGTTACCAGAGGCATGAGGCCTCCCAGGCAGCTTGCCTGGGCTCATGTGCTGGGGAGGAGTGTTTTCTGCTTCAGCATCAAAGAGACATGAATTGGAATCCCAGTTCTTACATTTTACTAGCTGGGTGACTTTGGACAAGTTACTTAGCCTCTCTGAGCCTCAGGTGTTTTTCTTTTTTAACGTTTATTTATTATTGACAGAGAGAGACAGAGCATGAGCATGGGAGGGGCAGAGAGAGGGGGAGACACAGAATCCGAAGCAGGCTCCAGGCCCTGAGCTGTCAGCACAGAGCCCGACGTGGGGCTCGAACTCACAAACCGTGAGATCATGACATGAGCCGAAGTTGGATGGATGCTTAACCGACTGAGCCACCCAGGCGCCCCAGTTTCAACATTCGTTACGCAGAGATTTAGTATATATTCTATTGGGTTGTTGTGAAGATTAAAATAAGATAATTGGGGCGCCTGGGTGGCTTAGTCGGTTAAGCGTCCGACTTTCGCTTAGGTCATGATCTCGCAGTTCGTGGGTTCGGGCCCCGCGTCGGGCTCTGTGCTGACTGCCAGCTCCGAGCCTGGAGCCTGTTTCAGTCTGTGACTCCCTCTCTCTCTGACCCTCCCCTGCTCATGCTGTCTCTCTCTCTCTCTCCTAGAAATAAATTTAAAAAAAAAAACATTAAAAAAAATAAAAAAATAAATAAAATAAAATAAGATAAATGTCCTATATTCTGAGACATACCTCCCCCTTGCCCCCCACACATACATTTAGCAACATCTCTGAAATCAGGACACATCTAAAAGGTGAACAATAATTGTAACCAACGCACTGGCTGGCACATAGTAAATACTCAATTAATGGCTGGCAAGTGTCAGTAGTATCACCTTCTTATACACAAAATGAGACACATCCCTCTAGGCACAGCTCCCTGCCCTAGGGCTCAAATGGATGGTACCTGGGAAGCCGAGCTAGTGACACCTCCCCCCCACCCCCGCACTTCCCCATTGGACACCTTCTCTGTATCCGGAAGTGAACTACCCTTTCTACCCCACCCCATTTCTCAGGGCTCACCACAGCCTTGCTGGGAAGAAACGAGAGAACACATGGGTATAAAAGGGGGCAATGACCATATAGCTGGTAGAAGCTGAAACGGAGCCCCGGGGAGGTTGGGGGTGGGTGGGGCTTGTGTACCCTAGCTGTGACTACTGGGTTTCCTGAGCCTTCCTCCTTTCTTTGTTACGGGTGTCTAACTCACCCCACGGTGCCTGTCCGGTGCTCCTGGCAGGCGCAGGTGACGCGGGGGTGGAAGTCTCTGTGCACGTGCAAAGCGGCCTCCTTCCTCAGGCACTGAGAGGCACAGAAGAGAATGGGACTCACCCACTCCTGGCCCACGTCCCGCCGCCAAGCTGCGCTGGGCGGGGGTAGGGGACCACCCAGAAGCAGCCGACGCAGCCGGGTGGCAGGGCTGGGCCCAAGGCTCTAACTGATCTGGGGCCGCCTCCACCCCGCCCACACCCCACCGCAGCCAGAAGCCCGACGTGGCCCTGGAGCCTACCTGGGGCAGCTCGGCCAGGACGCGGTCCCTCCGCACGGGCGCCAGAATGTTCATCTCGTCTGCGGCCTTGCGGGGAGCCCCGAGAAGGCACGGGAGCCTGATCCGCCCCAGCGACCCGGGCCCGTGGAGACCCGACAATCACCCGCGACCGAGGTGTCCCGACTATAACTCTGGGCCACGGGGAGCCTCCGGAAGCCCGCGGCCTCGGAGACGCTACGACCACAGCGGGCCACGGGGATGAAACAATCATCCGAGGCCGGGGCGAACCCACAATCACCCGGGCCCGGGGGGTCCCGAAGACGACTCGGGGGCGGGGAGACTCCTGGGCAGCCAAATGGGGGCGGGAAGTCCCGTCCGGAGGGGGCCGGGCCCGCGCAGACCCCACGATAACTCGGGGCCGGATAGTTCCTACAATGACTCGGGGCCGCGGAGACCCGACGACAACTCGGGGTTCAGGCGGCCCTACCATAACAGAGCTGCCCGGGGGCGCGGAGCGGCCCCGCCGCACGGGGTCAGTGTGCGCTGGGACGGCGCTGCAAGGCCCGCGGGCTGCTGGAGGAGGGGGCCTGGGGCCCGGTCCGCAGCCGGGCCTGGCGTCCCGCTCTGCTCTCCCTCCGCGAGCGCTGTAACATGATCCCCGGAAATTCCTGGAGAAGGGCCGCCCCCCGCCCCTCTCCCGGCAGCTCCCGGCCTCGCGGGCTGTCTCAACCTCCCCCTCCTCTCCTCCCACTGCGCTGCCCCAGCTCTGGCTACCCTGCCAGATGCCTCACGGGCACCAAGACCGCCTCCACCCAGCCTGGAACCTGTCCAGATCGAGGTCCCCCAGGGTGCACTCCCTTGCACCTCTGTGCCGCGCTGCGGCTCCAAGGGGACCCTTACCCGGTCCAACTGGTGATGGAGAACCAGTGATTGCTGCGCAGTATCTGGCTGGACCAGGAACCGGCGGGGAGGAGAAAGGAGGAGAGAAGGGGCCCGAGGAGAGGCGGCGCTTCCCTCCTCAACTCCAGGCCCAGGACGTGACTCATAGAGTCTGCCCTCGCCCGCCCTTCTGCCCTAGGATAGGGTAGGGGGAGAGGGAAAGCACACCGGGGATGCGAGGGTCGGAATGGGATGCCCACGGAGGACAGAGACGTCTGAAGTCTTGTGCCTTTTCCTTCAAAGCCGTGTAGATTGTCGGGTGGGGAAGCTGAAGACCAAGCCTGGATGGAGGATAAAGAAGGGGTAGGTGGACCTCAAACTCTGCCCCTTGAGTAGGTCACCGCTTTCGGACATGCGGCCTCCGCTTCTCTCCAGTCCCATCGGAGCCTATCCTCAAGGACAACTTTTCATTTTGCAGCTCTGCAGGATAGGAGAGGGGTGTCGCACACAATTTTCCCTGTCAAAGGAGGAGATCTGGCTCCAAAGAGGGGAGGAGGAAGATAGAAAGGTTAGGGTGGAAGTGGGATAGACAGGCCCTCAGAGAAGCAAACTTGAGCTTTACTAAAACCTGCTGTGTCAGGAACTGATTCTGAGGATGCAAACATACTGAAACAAGGATGGGAACACTACTCAAAGGGAGGGGACTGTAAATGAAATTATTCACAAGAAGAATTAGCGAATCCTGGAGAAATCTGTACGGTGGGTACTTGGTAGAGTTTCAAGAGATTTATTGGGAAAACACGAAATCTGACTGTCACAGGTAAAGAGGGGCAGATGTGGCCACCTTCTACCTCCTTGGATACTTTAGTCTTCCCCTTTGCATGACTCGACCTTTTCTTCTTTTTTTCTTTTTTTTAATTTTTAAAAGTGTTTACTTATTTATTTTGAGACAGAGAGCCCGCGCGCGAGAGAGCACGGGGGCGTGGCAGAGAGAGAGAGAGAGAGAGAGAGAGAGAGAGAGAGAGAGAATCCCAAGCAGGCTCCGAACTGTCAATGTGGGACTCCCCGACCCAGAGATCATGACCTGAGCCAAGATCAAGAGTCCCACGCTTTCCGGGCAGCCACCTAGGCTCCCCTTGACCTTTTCTGCCAGCAAATCACTGTTATTGATAAGCCACATACCCTCTCTGGACCCAAATTTCTACAGATGTTGTTTGAAGGACTTGAACCAAATGCTGCTCTAACGTTCTAGGACTTCGCTTCACTCTCCAAATCAACCTAATTACATTCACTGCAGTTTTCGGTGTTCGTCTCCCGTAACTAAGATCCTCTTTCCTCAAGATGGAAAGCGCTGAGGACCAGACGCAAGCGGCAGTTGGCTAAACCATCCACCATCCACCATCCACCCGCAGCAGCAAATAAACACGTGTCTCCAAAACACTACAACTCCCAAGAACCTACAGAGTCTTTCGGGAGAAGAGGTGGAGCCTGCTTCATCACTCTGGGGAGGAAACTAAGCCCAACTACCACTCCCGGCGGGCTCCGCGCTACAGGTTATCCAATCAGCTTTAAATACAAAGCATCGCGATCTTCGGTGAGACTTGGCTGTATAAGCCCCTGGAAACGAGCTTCGGAAATCCTTTTCACGAAGATGGCGCCGAAGGCGAAGAAGGAAGGTCTGTCCTGGGGCTGGGGGTACCACAGCTAGCTGGGCTGGGATCCCCGCAGACTGAACGAACTGGGAGGACGGAGGCTGAGCTAATTCTTGGGGTGTCTGCTTCGGAGCTGCTGCTCGCATTCCGCCACGCTACGGCGCGGGTGGGCCCAGCCGCGTGGGCTGGGCTCCGGTGACAGGGTTTGGGGAGACCAGTCCGGCCGCCACCACCTGTCGGGGGCTGCCAGACCTTTGGCTTTGGGGAACTACTCGCAGCTACAGGCTGGAGTTTCATGCCTCCAGACCTGAATTGTTGCCCGCAACTTATTTTCCCTTTTTCCCCGCGTTAGACGGGGCTATAAATAGTTAAAACTACTATCGTACATCTTGCGGAATATGAAGCGTTCGATCATTGCTAGGTTCTTTTTTTCTTCGTCGTATCCCTGGAGCTATTTCAAGTTCGTCCCAGTACCGTGCATATGATGGAAAAACTTTTAACCTTCTGAGACTTGTGATGTTCTCAAAGGAACCGCTGATGCACGTGTGGCTTGGAGCGCCCGCTAGGGGTCTTGACGGAAGTGAATGGTTTCTGAATCCGGTGCCTTCATCTTCTTTCTTTCAGCCCCTGCCCCTCCCAAAGCCGAAGCCAAAGCAAAAGCCTTGAAGGCCAAGAAAGCAGTGCTGAAGGGCGTGCACAGTCATAAAAAGAAGAAGATCCGCACGTCACCTACATTCCGACGGCCCAAGACCCTGCGTCTCCGAAGGCAGCCCAAATATCCTCGAAAGAGCGCCCCCAGGAGAAACAAGTCAGTACTGCCCCTTTCCCGTGAAAAGATACGGGATATTCTCCATTCGTGATTTGGAAATTTACCACACCTACAGCACTGTAGATCTTCTCAGATACCTGTTGGTACCTAGTGTGCGTCTTTTAATAGGAGTGTGAGGAGATTCTTAATGCCCTGTTGAAGGACAAGAGGATGCATTTTTGCAATATTGGCAGGGATTGTTTAAGACAACTCAGTGGCCGTTCTGGTTAAAAATCTGCTCTCTTGGAGTGTATAGTAGGACTTTGATAAATGCTTTTGGTTTGGAGTTCCAATTGCTGTAGGGGACAGTACTTGATGGTCACAGCATGGGATGGTTCTAGATTAATAAGGACACTTATTAATCTGTATTGGTCAGCGAAGGCCCGCAGTGGTGTATGAAAGCTTCTTTCTTACTCTCAACTCATTATACTCAAGGAATAGTTGGGGGTGGGTGGGCAAAAGGTTGGAGTATTTGTCACACTGCTGATAATAACTGACCTTAGGGGCCACAGATTAGAACAATAGTAGTAATTGCCACCTCCCACTGCTTCCTTAAAAAAAAAAAAGAAAAAAGGCGGGAGTGGGTTGTGCCCTGTTTGGACCTAGGAGTTGGAGAGGTTGAGTCCTGATGTCTGTCTTCAAGACAGGAAGCAGGTGAACAGGGATTTGTTTCTCTGAATTTCAGGAGGAGAGCTGTGTTGTGAGCTGCAGGTGTGTTCAAGCCAGTGTAAGTTTAACTTGGGCTTTAATAAAGTCGTTCTCAGTTGATGACCCTCAAATCAGTGTTCACCAACCAAAGGGAGCAGAAATGTCTAGCTTACCTCATAGTGAAGCACCAACATTCTTTGGAACTTCTAGCTTGGGTTTCAATATCCCATAGCCCTGCTTTGTGGTCTGTGGGTAAGTTGTTTAACTTTTGAAGTCTCAAATTTCTTCCATAAGTTTGCCCTCCAAAATATTGAGGTCAGATAAAGAATGAAGGGGTTTCGAACTCAGGGCTGATTCTTTAATCGCTTAAAGGGTGAAAGTCCTTCAGGCAGAATAAAGAGCACAGGGTTCTGTTCCCCCAAGCTGAGGCTCCAGGTCCCTAAGTTACAGGGTGCAGATGATGACACTGTTTAGCGACCAAAGTCTGACAAAAATGATTGCTGCTTTATTGTCTGATGCACCTGGGCTCTTCTGGCTTTGAGCTCTAAAAGGGGGCTAATCTTTCTTTTGTTGGACCCAAGCCAGATGACACCATTTTGCCTCTTCCCCAGGCTTGACCACTATGCCATCATCAAGTTCCCACTGACGACCGAGTCAGCCATGAAGAAAATAGAAGACAACAACACTCTTGTGTTCATTGTGGATGTCAAGGCCAACAAGCACCAGATCAAACAGGCTGTGAAGAAGCTCTATGACATTGACGTGGCCAAAGTCAACACTCTGATCAGGTGAGCAAGGAAATCTGCATGGAATCAGAAGTAGGTTTCACAGCTTGCAAGCCTTAGCTCTCCTGCCTCTAGGACTTGATGTGTGGAGTTAGTGTTCATTTCTACACCTCTAGACAGAGACAGGCCCTAGAGTGAGATACAATTTATGTCAGATTACTTGGAGTTAAGTCCTAAAATGTTATGTGGTGTTCCTGTAAAAGGGAGTTGGCTTCGTTTGTGGCCCTGGCCTCCTGTGCAAATGACAGAAAAGAATGACATGAACAAAAGGAACCACTGACGTGCCATGAAGACTAGGGGAATGAGGGCGGGCTTGGGGGCTGCGAGAGCAGCAGCAGCAACTAAAGCTTCCTTCATCCCAGGCCCGATGGAGAAAAGAAAGCCTACGTTCGACTGGCTCCTGACTATGATGCTTTGGATGTTGCCAACAAAGTAAGGTTCCTTTGCTGTGAGCCCCACCCCTGAAGTGCAAGTGCTGTGTCTGTGACTGACCAAAACCTGGCTTTCGCTAATTTATCTTAAATGACTTCACCCCTATTCTCAATAGGCCCATCCCTCGCCTTGTTTGCTTTTTAATCATGACATTCCAGCTTAATCTTCACTTTTCATCTCCTAGTAACAAAGCTCCCCTTTTGTTTTTCAGATTGGAATCATCTAAACTGAGTCCAGCCGGCTAAATCTAAATATAATTTTTGTCACCATATACGTTTCTTTGTTGATTTCTTCTTGGGCTTCAGGGTGGCCACACATCACAGTAACAAGGCTTGGGCAAGACTCTTGGTCTGCTCACCCTGTTGGTTCATTCTGCCTTTTTACCTCCCCACACTTGTTAAAATTCTGGCGACAGGAACTTGTGGCCCGGATTAGGGTTGGTTGTCCTAGGACAGCTACAGCTTGCCACCTTTATGGCAGCAGGAGAAAAAACTCGAACCCCTCCCTTTATCCCTGGAAGGGGCTCGGTATGAAACCAGTACACAATGCACAGTTCTCACTAGCATCGAGTCAGGGCAGCGCGCGATGGCTGGCCTTCACAGCACCTTGTCCCTGCACCCAACCAGCATGGCGGCCAGCACGTCCAACCGGTCTGTCGGCTTCCCTCACCCCTTGCCCAAGAAAGGACAAGGACTTCCGGAGGAGGAGTGCTTTCATTAGCATTTTCAATAGTAGGTGTGGGACTTGAAAGGTGGAGAGGCTATCCCCAGAGGGAGCCCCAGGCTGGGAGCTGCTTTCATACATGTGTGAGACTGTTCTGGGCCGCATTTGCTCCTGCCACAAGTTGTAGGCTTTGTGCCTCTCATTCAGTCAAAAACTTGTCTTTGTGTTGCTGGCTGGGGACACTCTGAGGGCAGAAGTCTGAGCGGAGAAGGCGGGAAAAGTAGATGAGGATCATGATGTCCAGCATGAGCAGGATACCCAGCAGAAAGGCACCCAGAGTCCTCTGGCCCAAATAACGCAAGAAGAAGTGAGTGAGGTAGGCCTGCGGGGCCAGGCGGAAGAAAAAGTACATGACCAAGTTGACATATTTGTTGACCTGGTAGAGGAGAAGGTGCTGGGCGTTGTTGATCTTCATCATCATGCGGAAGGTGAGGAATACGTTGCTGACCTCCACCAGCAATGTTAGGACGCCCCCACCGACAAACCTGCTCCAGAAGATGCCCGAAAAGAAAGCAGCCAGGGCCTGGAAAGGAGGGGGAGAACATGTTAGGGAACCCAGATGTCATCAGCCTATTGTACTAGGAAAGGCAAGGGGTTGCCGGCCTGAAATAGCGAGCCAAGGGCACGAAATCAGTGCCAGCCCTCAGGCTCGGCATGGGATGTAGGACACAGGGTGGAAGTGGGGTTAAGAAGAGATGGCCTTTACCTGCCAGGCTCAGCCACACCGGGCTAACCGGCTGGCGCCAGGCCTACCCCGGATCCCCCGCGGCTCATTTACCATGACGTGATGAACCAGGTATTCCCAAGAAGCTCCCGCCTGACGGCTAATCACGATATCCATCATGTCGTGGATGAAATACCCTAGCGGAGAGAGAGCAAAAGGTCATGAAAGGACCTGGACAAGAAGCTCTCCCCTGACCCCACCTGCATAATGCTTTCCGGGCAAGACCTACCTGTGGAGAAGCAAACCAGCAGATAGCCAGAAAGCGACCATGCCGTCTCAATCTCCACCAGCAGCTCCGGGGTCTGCCATATGCTAGGAGCGAAGAAGGCAGGCTCTCAACATCTCGCTGTCCCCAAGGACCCTCAAATTCACACACACCCCCCATTACCCTTCCCGGTCCCCCGGGGAATCTGGCTCGCGCTATTGGCTGACGGGGCAGTGAGGAGAGGCTTGGCCGAAACCCAGGTGTCTCCCGTTTCCCAGATGAGCTTCTCCCCCTCCCGTGGGTCCTCTGCCACTCCTAGTTGGAGAGTTTTCCAAACCGGGAGATCAGGTGAGACCGCACGGCCTCGGCCTGCTCGGCAGGGATGCGGAGGGTAACGCGGGCTCCCCTAGCCACCCTCCTTCAAAACCCCGGTCCTTCACTCACCACAGCAGCGCCCAGATTCCGGACACAATGGAGTGGGCGAAAGAGACGAGCAGGTTGTGCCAGCGCCAGGTGCGTAGGGGGTCGGCGCGCACGTGCGCCGGCAGAGGCAGGCGGCCGAGCGCGCTCCGAAGCCCCCGGAAGGTCAGCGTGGCGCCCAGGAGCAGCGGCAGGGCGGGGTGCAGCAGAGGGGGCATGCTGGCCCTCCCTGCCGTCTGTCCGTCCGCCCTCGAGGCGGCCTCCTCGGTCCGCTCAGGGAACCTGGCTCCCTCTCGGGCCAGCCCACCCCGGCCACCTCGCCGCCGGCCGCCAGCCTCACACAGATTTCGCCGAGCCCTCTAGGCCCCTGCGCTCCTCCCGGCCCCTCCCCGCCGGCCTCTGCCCCCGCCCCCAATCGCCCCCGCCCCGCCCCGCCCCTGTCGCTTGGTCCCGCCCCTCCGGCTCCTAGGCTGCTCTGGGGCGCGAGCGCCGTTTCCCCGGCTCTTCGGGCCCCGCCGGGCTCCCGCAGACTTTCGGCGAAAAGGGGCGGAACCTGGGGCGCCGCCGCCGCCGCTGCACCCCTCGCTGGCGCCTCCCGACTGCCGATGGAGTCCCGCCTGGCTCCCTTGGCCTCATTAACCCGCGTCCCCACTCTCCCCGGGGCTACTGGCTCCCCCTCCTGGGCGGGCACTGACAAGACTCACTCTCCGCCCCCAACTCCTATCTTGGCAGAGCGGGGCGGGGCACGTCACACACCCGCGTCCTTTAAGCCCTGGTCCTGCAGGTGGGTCCGAGCCTCACTTCGTCAGTCATCTCCGCCCATACCCTGTCCTTCCACTGGCTCTCTAGCTTCTTCAGGCCAGAGACCGACACGGTTTTCTGCCTGTTTGGTGCCCTGCATCGACGTGGTGCCTAGAAAGGGTCTACTAATCCATCACCACCCCTCTTCCCAGCTCGCTCTTGGGTTCCCGGGGCCGGGCGGCTGTCACAACCCTCCCTCAGACAGTCCCAGCTCTCGTCTCGTGGCTCCCTGGACGAGGAGCACCGCGGATTTGCCCGGGCTGCTGGGGTGACCCTTGCTCTTCAGGCCAGCGGCCCGAGGCAGTTGCAGCTCGTGGTCACTAGGTGTCAGCCTATCCCCACCTTGGCGCGGGGTCCCCTCCTGCCTCCAGCGGAACGAAGAGCTAACAGAACTGCTTACAACCAGGGGCTGTGACGGTGGTGAGGGAGTAGAAGTACTTGGAGGTGAAGGGGGAGCTAGGGAAAAGTTGCTGCGAGAGGGAGGGAAAGCTAGAAGCCTTAGGGGACCAGGAGGTTTGGGTGTTTGCTCTCCCTTCCCTGATGGCTCCAAGGTTACATATTAACCCCTGTGGGGCTCCTGGGTCAACCACCGCATGATTGGTTCCTAGGTGAGAGCACGAGTGTCCCGGCTTGAGCGGCTTTTCCCCTCTGTGCTCTGCTTTGGTCACAGGCAGCTTTGTTTATCAGCCAACAGCCGCCCTGAGCTAGCGACTGAGGGCTCCTCGTGGGGACCCTTCAAGTGGTCCTTTCACCTGGGAAGGTTTGAGTACCCTTCTGAGAGGTGGGGCGGGACAGAACACAAACACTCCTTTCCTCGCTCCTCACTCACTCAGGAATAGGGACGCTGTCCCTTAGCTAATAACCATCCTCTTGCTCCTTAACTGAGCTTTTATGGAGCTTCCGCAGAGGCGGCGGCACAGGGAAACAACAGGCTTAGTTAAACTCACTCCTGTTCAAGACCCTAGACAACCGTACCGACCAGCCCCCTACGTTTAGGGGCAGAAGCCTGGAACCCACATCGGCCAAACAGCTCCCTTTCCTCCTCTCTCTGATGCTTTCAGATAGTGGTCCACCTCCCTCTCATCTCTCCCCCCTTTCCCCCCCGACGAGAGTCTCCCTGTAGTTGAGCGTTGAAGGCCGATTACCTGCGGCAAAGTTGTGTGTGTGCAGGGGGAGGTAGCTGAAAGTGCTGACGAGCGCGGTGCTTACGAGTCCGGACGGCCTGGAGACCGTGTCTCCTCCACCCTAGGTGAATCAACTTGCGCAGCTCGGGGGTTTCCCCGGTCCTTCCCTAGGCAAACACGAAACTCCACTAATCTTCCTCCCTGCCCCACAGACCGAGAGTGCTGACGCTCTCGGTACAGTTTTGGTCGTTTATCATTTGCGTGCCAATGAGAATCTGCTCTCCCCCTTCCAAACAGGGCCACTAGTGGGCAAAGAGGTGGGCTGAGAGAGGTCGGTCCTCGCTTTCCACCCTCACACGGTCGTGCAGGGCACCCCTCCGGTCTAGGGAAGCTTTTTGAGGGCCGGATGCCTTCACGTGTGTGGAAAGTGGCTGGTACCGTAGCGCTAACCGCTCAAAGAAACGGGATAACACTCCATTCTTCTTCGGACCCTGAAAAAACAACTGGGGACGGGGGCTGGTAAGACGCTGTAAACAGCACAAAACAAACACAGGGCAGAATCAACCCCAATCTCACTTGCTCCGCCCCGCAATTATCGTGCAACGTAGGGGGCGTGGTCCTAGGGTGGGCGGGTCCGCGCACGCGCCGCGTCCGGGTGTGGGGGGTTCCGGAAATGTGACTGAGAAATGAGATGGAGAAGTACGAGCGGATCCGAGTGGTGGGGAGAGGTGCCTTCGGGTGAGCCAGGGATCTGGGGAAGGATACTGGTCGGGGAGAGGGAAACTCAGTCCCAGCTCTGTACGAGAATTCGCTGCCTGCTTAGCCCCGCCCCGAGGCGTGAGCGCACACTTGGAAAGCCCCGCCCAGACTTCCGGTCTGGTCTCAGCTGGGAGACTCCGCCTCTGAGGAGGTCACGCCTCCAACCAGCCTTTGCGCCCCCGCAGAGTTCTGTTCTTTGATGCCAGATTCATTCATTCAACAAATACTGAGCGCCAACTCTACCGGTCTGGCTCTCGGCGCCCAGTGAACTGTAAAGACCAAAATAGGCGTGGCGTTTTCTCTCGAAGCCTACAGACTGTAGGAAAATAATACAATAAACCAGACATTAAAGCAGTTACTAACAAGCTGCGAGCCTAGCACGCACCAGAGAGTACTTACTTGGGATGGTCAAGGAAAATTTCTCTGAGAGGTGAGGTTTAAAGCCAAGACTTGAGGAATGAAGACCAGTAATCCGAAGGCGAAGGCAGAGCTTTTCAGGCAGGGGAAACCGCATATGGGAAGGTCCTCACGTGGGAAAGAATTCAGAGTATTCAAGTAACTGAGCAAAAGGCTGAAGTTGGAATGTAGCGGGCCAGGGAGAGAATGGTATAAAATGGGATTGTCACAGAGGGCAGGGACCAGATTATGGCCTTATGGGCGGGGGTAAAAGGGTTGAATTTATTTGAAGTGTAAAGGGAAGAGGTGTAAGCAGACTGGTCTTGATGTGATTTAAACATCGCTCAGGCCGCTGTGTGGAACTTAGATTTGAGGATGACGAAAAGTGAAGAAGGCACCATTTTAAAGGCTCGTGCAGTATTTTAGGCAGTAAATCATGATTTGGCCAGGGGTTGTAGCAGAGATCAGAGAGAGCAATGGATGAGTTCACAATATTTTGGAGGTAGAAACAGGGTTTACTGATGTGTGAAATGGAGGAAAGGTTGCGGCATGATTTTCAGGTGTCTGACTTTGTGGTGGTGTCATTTACTGAGAAGGAAGAGACTGAGAAAGGAAAGGTTTTGGGGGCAGGAATCAAAAGTTCTATTTGATTTTTTGGTTAAAATTTAGGATGCATGCAAGCCATTTAGGTAGAGATGCAAAAACAGTTGGATTTGTGAGTCTGGGGCTCAGAGGAGGAATATTACTTTATATCAAATATAAATTTGACACTTAGATGATCATCTTATAGTCCATTCATTCAGCAGATACTTACTGAGTTCCTTTGTGCTAAATATTGGGCTATGCTCTGGGGATATAGTTGCGAGGGAGAACAAGAACCCTACTTTTATGGATACTAACCAGAGGTGGAAGAAAATAATAGTATAAATGGCTTCTACAAATTGAGTATTTTTGGTGTGCCACGCACTGTGCTAAGTCCCTTACCTGCATTTTCTCATTTGATCCTCTCAGGGAAGTTGATTCTGTTTTTCAGATGATAATGTCATATAAAGCCAAGAGCAGATAGGGGCGCCTGGGTGGCTTAGTCGGTTAAGCGTCCGACTTTCGCTTAGGTCATGATCTCGCGGTTCGTGGGTTCGAGCCCCGCGTCGGGCTCTGCGCGGACTGCCAGCTCAGAGCCTGGAGCCTATTTCAGAGTCTGTAGCTCCCTCTCTCTGACCCTCCCCTGCTCACGCTGTCTCTCTCTCTCTCCTAGAAATAAATAAAAATAAAAAAATAAAGCCAAGACCAGATAAATAGTAAGAGGAGGAGCCAGGATTCGAACCCAGGCAGTTAACTCCAGGGTCTGTAAGAACTTAGGGAGATCAAGACTAACTTCACTGTGTCTTTGGTGAAAATGAATCTCAGAGAAGTTAAATGACTTGCCCAAGGTCTCACACAGAAGTGGTGGTCAGTTCTCCCTGTTCCTAAACTCAGTGGTCTGTGCATTTAGTTAGATGACCTCTTAGTCCGGGTTCCCTTTCCCCTCCCCTAAGTACTACCCAGTGACCAGGTCTGCCCTGCCCGGTGTGTGGCTGGAGGCTCGGCTGGTACCCACCCCCGTCCTCTGTGCCCCCAGGATTGTGCACCTGTGTCTGCGCAAGGCTGACCAGAAGCTGGTGATCATCAAGCAGATCCCAGTGGAGCAGATGACCAAGGAAGAGCGGCAGGCAGCCCAAAACGAGTGCCAGGTCCTCAAGCTCCTCAATCACCCCAATGTCATTGAGTACTATGAGAACTTCCTGGAGGACAAGGCCCTCATGATTGCCATGGAATACGCTCCAGGTGGGCCAGCCTCCTTGCATTGTCCCGGCTCCAAGGGCCTCTCACCTCTGGGACAGACAGACGCAGATGCGCCGGCTTCCCTCCTCAGAATGAGTTTGACGGAGGGTCAGAGGTACAGGGTGCTCACCCCAGTTGTGCGAGGCTGGCAGCCCCTTGCCCTGTCAGGGCTGCTTCGTTTCATGAAAGGACAGTCCTAGGCATGGGGAGACCTGGATCTTAAGTGGGTCCTTGTGGCTGCAGGTGGCACCCTAGCTGAGTTCATCCAGAAGCGCTGTAATTCCCTGCTGGAGGAGGAGACCATCCTGCACTTCTTTGTGCAGATCTTGCTCGCGCTGCATCACGTGCACACGCATCTCATCCTGCACCGGGACCTTAAGACTCAAAACATCCTTCTCGACAAACACCGCCTGGTTGTCAAGATCGGTGACTTCGGCATCTCCAAGATCCTTAGCAGCAAGAGCAAGGCCTACACGGTGCCTGGGCGTGGAGGGGGCCTCAAGGGTGCTGGTGGTTTTGAGGGCCACGGCCCACGCTGTGTCCCAACTCCCCTCCCCACCGCAAGACCTTGGCCCTTTGGGCCCTAGCCGGGTGGTCCTGCGGGGAGAAGCACTTGGGCCTGATTTGGGGGGGGAGAATCTGTCTCCCGGTGGGCCTTGAACAGAGCCCTCCCTCCCCCACCCCCAAGCTATAACAGTCTCCTCCTGGGGCGCCTGGGTGGCTTAGTCGGTTAAGCGTCCGACTTTCGCTTAGGTCATGATCTCACGGTCCGTGGGTTTGAGCCCCGCGTCGGGCTCTGTGCTGACTGCTGGTTCAGAGCCTGGAGCCTATTTCAGAGTCTGTCACTCCCTCTCTCTCTCTGACCCTCCCCTGCTCATGCTGTCTCTCTCTCTCTCTCTCTCTCTCTCCTAGAAATAAATAAAACATTAAAAAATTAAAAAAAAAAATCTCCTCCTCCCTCCTGCAGGTGGTGGGGACCCCGTGCTACATCTCCCCGGAACTGTGTGAGGGCAAGCCTTACAACCAGAAGAGTGACATCTGGGCCCTGGGCTGTGTCCTCTATGAACTGGCCAGCCTCAAGCGGGCTTTCGAGGCTGCGGTGAGTTAGCACCCCCACGGGGACAACTGGAACATCTCGGTCTCTCTCCCCAGGAAGTCCTTGGCTCCAGCCACCTCTTATGTCTCCTCTTTTGGCTGAGCTTTGTTTCCGTAGCTTAGCCCAGGGCAAGGCCGTGGCTTCCCTCAGGCTCTTGGTTCCTGAGGGTAGGGCTTGGGTTCCCCCACTAAACTGAGGACTCCTGAGGGTGGAGCTCTCCCATCAGATTAGGGGCCGCCCCAAGGGCAAGACCTGAGTTCCCCCAACAACCTAGGGTCCCTGAGGGCATGACTGAAGCTCCCCTATCAGGAGTTCTTGAAAGAAGGGTTCGGCAACTATATCACCAGGAGGCTCCTCATCAGACTGAAAGTTCTGAGTGCAGGGCTATGAGCACCCCATTAGACCGGGGGGCGGGGCGGGGCTGCCACCCAAGAGCATGGCTCTGGATCTGGCTGACCTCACACTTGGTGCTTTCACAGAACCTGCCAGCGCTGGTGCTGAAGATCATGAGTGGCACCTTCACACCCATCTCTGACCGGTACAGCCCCGAGCTGCGCCAGCTCGTCCTCAGTCTGCTCAGCCTGGAGCCCTCACAGCGGCCACCGCTCAGCCACATCATGGCACAGCCCCTCTGCATCCGGGCCCTTCTCAACCTCCACACCGACCTGGGGAGCGTCCGCATGAGGAGGCCTGTGCAAGGGGGGAGGGAGGCTCTGGGCCCAGGGGGCACCCAATGGGAGCACGATAAGCCTGGGGCAGAGGGAGCTTCGGGCAAGTCCTCCATTCCTGCCTGTGGGAGGGCCAGGAATGGTCCAGGTCTTGAAGTCCCCCCCACCATCTGACCCACAGGGCAGAGAAGTCCCTGATCCCTGGGCCACCCATGGCCCCCGGCAGCACAGGGAGCAGGACCACAGGCGCCCGCTGCAGGGGTGAGTCTGAGCCGCCCACCGGTGCCCACAGGCCGCCAAGCCATTCCCACTAGTTTAACAGGCCTAAGCACTGTCCCCGCAGGTATACCCCGGGGACCCCCGCGACCGGCCATTCCACCACCGCTGTCGTCGGTGTACGCGTGGGGCGGTGGGCTCAGCGCCCCGCTGCGGCTGCCGATGCTCAACACAGAGGTGGTCCAGGTGGCAGCCGGGCGCACGCAGAAGGCGGGCGTCACACGCTCGGGGCGCCTCATCCTGTGGGAGGTGAGCGGGCTTGGCGGGGGGGCAAGGATGGCCAGTGGGGCTGGGGGCAGCCGGGGCGCCACCCACACCCTCCTGGCCTCTGGCAGGCCCCGCCCCTAGGCGCCGGAGGTGGGGCGCTCCTGCCCGGGGCGCTGGAGCAGCAGCAGCCCCAGTTCGTCTCCCGTTTCCTGGAGGGCCAGTCAGGCGTGACTATCAAACATGTGGCCTGCGGGGACCTCTTCACAGCCTGCCTGACCGGTGAGGCTCTTAGGGGACCATGGGAAGGCCCCCCCCAAAGCCACTTCCCTCATTGCTCTGTCATTTGCAAAGTGCACTCTAGACTCCTACTCTGCTCTCCTTTCTCTGGCACCAGGTGCTTTACTCAGTCAATCTCCTTTACCGTTCACAACAGGCCTGGCCTGGTAGTTACTGTATATGGTACTCCTTTGAGGGAGGCCCAGAGAGAGAGATCTGGAAAGCTCAGATCTTAAAGCTCAAAGAGGAGAAGGGGCGCCTCTGGGGCTCAGTTGGTTAAGCGCCTGAGTGTTGATCTCGGCTCAGGTCATAATCTCACAATTGGTGAAATAGAGCCTTGCATCAGGCCAAGGATCCTGCGCTGCTGACGGCGCAGAGCCTGCTTGGGACTCTCTCTCCCTGTCTCTCTGCCCCTCCCCAACTCGCACTCTCTCTCTCTCAAAAAAAAAAAAAAAAAAGTAAAGCTCAGAGACTGTCACTTGTCCCAACTCAGACACTCGAGAAGGGACTGACCCCTCTGCTTCTCCTTTTCTACCTCAGTCTCATTCTTCCAGCTTTTTCTTGCTCCTCCAACCCATGGACTGGCTTATCTGGAAAAACAGCCCAACCTCTCTCTCCCTTCTCTTTCCTCACCACCCCCCCTCTCCAGACCGAGGTATCATCATGACCTTTGGTAGTGGCAGTAACGGGTGCCTAGGCCATGGCAGCCTCAATGACATCAGCCAGGTGGGTGTCGCGTGTACCTTGGGGAGGAGGAAGTGGGGAGATGGCAAGGAGGCCACATCTGAGAGCCGACACCCAGGTTGGGGTCAGGGGATCCCCAGCCCCTAGGTCTCTCTAGCTCCCAGGCTGCACCTGTCGTGGGCAGCACCAGGGGAAGTACAGAAAGACCAGCCCTTTCCCCAGTGGTTGCGGTGGGGGTGGGAGGGCAGTTAAAGAGAGAGCCGTCTGGTCTTGTGAGAATGTGCAGCCCTCAACTTCGTCCCTACCTGGGATGCCGAGGCCAGGCGGCTAGTCTAGGCCTGTTGCCCGTCTCTCTTGCTTCCCCTCCCTCTCTAGCCCACCATTGTGGAGGCCCTGCTGGGCTATGAGATGGTGCAGGTGGCCTGCGGGGCCTCTCACGTGCTGGCCCTGTCCACAGAGCGAGAACTATTTGCGTGGGGCCGCGGAGACGGCGGTAAGCTCCCCACCCCATTCCAGCCTCTAGGCTGCGTCTCACGGCACCCTGGCCATGACTTGTTTCCCTTCATACCCACCTTCCACCCCATGACTCCTTCTCCCTCTTTTCTCTTCAATTCCATTCATTCACTCATTTACAAAACTTTACTGCGTGTGGACTGTGAGCCCCCAGGGGGGGCTGGGTGCAGAGACAAGATGAAAAAGAGTCACTTCCTTCAGGTGCTTATGATGTAATGGGGGAGATTTCTTTCATCAGACAATACTTCTTCTGGTGGCCCTCTCTGGGTCAGACAGGTCCCGCTGGGCTTTGAAACTTAGAGAGGACCCGCAGTTCATGGGTTCGAGCCCCGCATCGGGCTCTGTGCTGACCGCTAGCTCAGATCCTGGAGCCTGTCTTTGGATTCTCTGCCTCTCTCTCTCTCTGACCTTCCTCTGTCTATGCTGTCTCCCTCTCTCTCTTAAAAATAAATAAAACATTTAAAAAAAAAAAAAAAGGAAACTTAGAGAGGACCTACACGGGGTTTCTGTCCTCCTGGCAGACTCATTCTAGTGGGGAGAGGGATGACATCTCCCTAGGACAAATGGACAGACAGCACGAGGGCTCTCCCCAAGGTCCAGAGATGTGAGAACCCAAGGAATGGCATGGGGCTTTCCTGGAGGAGACAGAGGCAGCATCTGGACAGGATCTTAAGAAACAGTAGGGTTTTAGGGCGCCTGGGTGGCTCAGTCGGTTAAGCATCTGACTTCGGCTCAGGTCAGGTTTGTGGGTTCGAGCCCCGCGTTGGGCTCTGTGCTGGAGCCTGCTTCAGATTCTGTATCTCCCTCTCTCTCTGACCCTCCCCTGCTCACGCTGTCTCTCTCTCTCAGAAATAAATAAGAAACAGTAGGGTTTTGACCACAGAGGGGCCAAGGATGGGCATTTCAGGCTGAGCGCACAGCCTTCACTCATGCTGTTAGCTCCTCTCCGTGACTCCTCATCCTGGCGTCACAGACTCTAACACTCAAACCAGCCCCATCCTGGTTTCTCGTTTTAGGTCGGCTGGGACTGGGCACCAGGGAGTCCCACAGCTGTCCCCAGCAGGTGTCCATACCCCTAGGACAGGAAGCCCAGCGGGTTGTATGTGGCATTGACTCCTCCATGATCCTCACTGTGGCTGGCCGAGCCCTGGCCTGTGGGAGTAACAGGTAAATAGGTACACCCAGACGACTAGCCTGCCCCCTTCCCCTCCCCGGCTGCTAGTGTGACATCTGTCATTGTCTACCAGCAAGGGTCAGAACTAGGGGGCCACTGAGAGCGCTGCTGGGTTCACCCCAGGGTGGGATCTGTCCCCTGGTGACCAGCTCTTGCTCACACTGCTGGGAGCAGGAGAATCTATACAAACTGTCGGTTGTACTTGACTTCTGGCTGCACCTTCAGGTTCAACAAGCTGGGCTTGGACCACTGCTCCCTGGGGGAGGAGCCTGCCCCCCACCAGCAGGTAGAGGAGGCCCTGAGCTTCACACCACTAGGTTCAGCACCCCTCGACCAGGAGCCCCTGCTGAGTGTGGACCTGGGCACTGCTCATTCAGCTGCTGTAACTGGTGAGTAGGACCTGGGCACAGGAGGCCCAGGCCCAGGCGGACACCCCTGACCTCCTTGGAATCTCACTTGAGGCATCCCTTTCCTTCCTTTCGTCTTTCCTCGCCTACAGCCTCTGGCGACTGTTACACTTTCGGCAGCAATCAGCATGGGCAGTTGGGCACCAGTGCCCGCCGGGTCAGCCGAGCACCTTGTCAAGTCCAAGGCCTACAGAACATCAAGACAGTGATGGTGGCCTGTGGGGATGCCTTCACTGTAGCCATTGGGACAGGTGATCAGTGGGCATCATGGGGGCAGTTAGGGGCGCGGGCAGGCTCATGGGCCGTCCGCGGTTGTCACGTTCAGGGTTGCTGAACCTCGCAGTGGGCCCCGTATGCAATCCAGGAGGAGCGCTGTTCGCTAAGCTGGGTCCTCCCCCTATTTCTTTCCTTGGGATTCTCTTCGGCAGACGGTGAAGTGTACTCTTGGGGCAAAGGGGCCCGAGGTCGGCTGGGAAGAAGGGATGAGGATGCTGGACTCCCTCGGCCAGTGCAGCTGGATGAGACGCACCCCTACACGGTGACGTCTGTGTCCTGTTGCCATGGCAACACTCTACTGGCTGTTCGCCGTGAGTTACTCTAACTTTTCCCACTTCATCTACACAAGGGTTAATCCTACTAGCCCCTGCCCACGCTCCCATCCCCATGGTCACAGCCCCAGTCCCTAAAAGCCCCCAGATAAATGACAGCAGAAGCTGCGCTATACAATAGCTTCCAGTCTGGGGAAGGCAAGGGCGTTTGCTTCTTGGGCCTCGTTGAAGGGCTGCTCCGGTGCTTCCCAGGGTCCAAATGCATGCTTTCTCCTCCTACCCCAAGTCCGGTTTAGTCTGAACCAGTTTCTGGCCTGCCAGGGTCCGGAGTCCAGGGCGCAGTGTGGGAGTGGGAGTGGGGGTGGGTATCCCTTGCCGGAGGCATTGCCCTCTGGGTCGCCGCAGCAGTTTCTGTACCCTCCAGCGGTTACGGATGAGCCAATCCCCCCCTGAGGAACCCAGATACGCCTCTGGACCTGGACCACCCTGATGCTGCTTCTCCTCTGAGCATTCTTGAAATGTGCACATGCCTGCAGCCAGACTGTCCCCACCAGCCCCCTGGATGGCCATTAACGAACGGGGTATAAGAACTAGCGAAGCACCCACCCTCCTTCGGCCCTGGATTTGAAAACCTCAACCCACCCTGTTCCCCCAACAGCTCTCTTTTCTCTCCCCACCCCTCTTAAGCTGGTGTCCCCAGGGGACCAGTCCTGCTAGAGCTGGAAACCAGATCTAACTTGGGGAAGCAGGGTGGTCTCCAGACTCTCGGCCGAAAAAAAGCTGGAGGCGGCTGTGGCTCCACCCAGTTCCTGCCCTTTCCTCCAGCCCAGCTAGAAAATAAGTCGCTGGTGCCCCCTGGGAGAGCAGCTCTGCGCTGGAGCAGGGCAAGCCCAGTCCTGCCTGGACTGGCCATTCTGGCCCCCTAGCTTCTGCGTTGCCTGGGGGCAGGGAGACCTGGCACCTACCCCCACTCTCGATATCCTGAGGCACGGATTTGCACAACTTCTGAGCTCTTCCTACCCCTGTGGACTGGAAACGCATCTGCCCAGGGCACCGAAGTGTCCACTGCGGAGGGGATCCCTGCTGAAGGTGGCCTCTCACCCTAGCCATTCGCCCCCCAGAGCAGGTTGGGAGAAAGGGCTGCTGGCTGGGCCAGACCAGTTTTCCAGATGACTGGGAAATAGCGCCAATAAAAACATCAGCTGCCTGCCTCGAATGTGGTCTCTTCAGGGTTGGGGGTGGTGACACCCCAGGGCTGGGCAGGGCCGAGGTCCGGGGAGGAGGAATGTGGGCGCAGCCTGAGGCTGGGGCCGAGGTTCCTCTGGCCCTGCGCCCAGCACGGCTTCCCCGCGACAGCCGAGCTCCCCAGATCTGGTTGCCAAGCTTCGGCTGCCTAGCACCTGCAAGCTGGAGTCCGGGCCCCTTGGCGACACGTGGCCCCCGAGACCGGGCTACAGACTCCGGAGAAGCGAACCTTTGTGGCGCGGCCCAGTCCGGCCGCCGGGGCCCACCGCCCCATCCAGCTTCAGGGCCCCCCAGCTCTGGGGAGACACGGGGCCGCGAGCTCTCTTCCGAAGGGAAGAGAGGAGCCCGTACGCGTCGGAGGGCGCGAGGCTGGTCATCCGCGGACCCCGAGGCCGCGAGCCGACGAGGTGGGTGGGTGCGCCAGAGGCGGGCGCTAGGACCGCGCGGGCGCGGCTCCTCCCCCTCTTCCGGCGGGCGGGCTCGCGGGCTCGGGGGCTGGGCGCAGGCCGCGGCCGCCAGTCGGCGCCGCCCGGAGCCGGGAGCGCGGCCGGAGCGAGGCGCGGGCTGTGGGGCCGCCGCGTGCCCGGCCCCGCTCGCCCGTGCCTGCCGCCCGCCCGCCATGCCCGGCTTCGACTACAAGTTCCTGGAGAAGCCCAAGCGGCGGCTGCTGTGCCCGCTGTGCGGGAAGCCCATGCGCGAGCCTGTGCAGGTTTCTACCTGCGGCCACCGCTTCTGCGACACCTGCCTGCAGGAGTTCCTCAGGTGCGGGCCCGGAGGTAGCGGGGAGCGGCCGGTGGCGACGGCCAGGGGGGGCGACGCATGGGGAGGCACGCCGGGCCTTTGTCTGCGCCGCGGCTCCGTGACCTCAGGGGCGCCCGCCGTGACGTCACGGGGAGGCGGTGACGTCAGGCCCCGAGGGGGGGACCCCACGCACTAATCCGAAGGGGCCCGGGGCCCACAGGCGCCCAGGGCCCACAGGCGCCCGCGCCTGCGGGGTGGAGGTGGGAGTAGACGCCTTTCCTGACCCGTGGCCGGCCCTCCCCCCTCACCTGGAAGCCGGAGCGGCCTCATCCTTGAACTTTGAATCCTTACGGGAAGAGGGGGACAAAACCCTCCGTCCCGCGCAGGGCCTTAAGCCTCCGGAGTTTCCGCCCATCCAGCCTCTTCTGGTTCTAACAATCCGAGGACGGCAGCTATTGTTCTCCCATTTCACAGATGAGGAAAGGAAAGATTTGGGGAAAGGCTGCGACTTGCCCGCGGTCACACACTTACTTAAAGCCTTAACTGGGGTTTCAGCCCGGCCTGGCTCTGATCACACAAAAGTGGGAGGACTGAGACGCTACAGATCGCCCCTGAAGCAGGGGAGCCCCCTGGGTGTCCCTCCTTGCCCCTGAGGGATCCTGAATGCCGCGGGCGGTCTGTGAATCGTCAGGGAGGGGTCGCCCCCTGAGTGTTACCGAACCAGGTGACCCCTTGGCCCTGGGGCGTTTGTTGAGTTCTGGGCACCCTGCGGTGCCCTCACTCTAACGCCGCTGCTGGGAGAGACTGCTCCGGCCAGGTGTGGGCAGGCGAGACGAGCGAGCCCTCACTCCTGGGGAGGCCGTGCCCCGAGAGCACAGGGAAAAGCGAGGTCAGCCACTGCCTCCTGTCTGGAGGCTGTTCGCTGAGGGGTGCTGGGGGCGCAGGCAGGGGGCGCGTCTGGGGCTCCTGCCTTTCGCGCTGCTCCCCTCCCTCCCTCAGCCCTCCGCAGCCCCTGGCTGGCGGAAATCTCAGCAGGCCCTTTGTTTTCGGTTCCCCGCAGCCCGGGCCGGCTCCTGCCCTCACATATGCTCTTGCAGGAGCTGCTGTGCCGCCCCCTCCTCGGTCCTCCCTCCCCCCTTCGGTGTACACACACACGCACACACTCACACACTCCCCTACACACACACACAGTCCCATTGTCTCGCGCGGTGCCCTTCCCCGGCCCTCTGGTTTCCAGATGAGGCCAGCTGAGCCCCTGCCCCCACTCCAGCTGACCCACCCTGACTGCCTGGGTTGGGGGGGGGGGGGCGGGCTGTCAGGCCGTTTCCCTCCGCCTCCTTCTCTGCCCCTCTCCCCAGCTTCTGCCCCTCCCCCTCCCGGAAATCCCCTCTTCCTCTCCCACAGCCCCCTCCCCCCATCCTGTTTTCTCCCCTGGGCCTGGGCCTCCGCTACACCGCCTGGAGCAGTCTTGGCCCCTGCTTCTCCCCCTTCCCCCCGCCCCCCAGTCTGAGCAGTGCAGCTGAGGCCCCCGAAGAAAAGGAGAGAGGTGGTTGCGCGGGCTCTGTCGCTCACCGCCACCCCCTGTCCTACAAGCACGGGTGTCCATAGCCCCCGCAGAACCCTTGTCCTGGCCGGGCCCCAAGCTGCTCAGGCTGATCTGCCTGAAGCCTGGGGACTTGCCTTAGTCCCCTCCCTGTCTCCGAAACCACTAAATCAGCACATTCCTCAAGCGGCCAAGCAGACCCCTCCCCCCGTGGCCCACCCCTCTTTCCCCATTCCTGCCAGGGCTATTACTCAGGTGGGTCCAGGAAGGCTGGTTGCCCTGTGGGCATGGGCACACCTCTGCAGTGCCTGGACATGTATTGTTCTTGGCATCGGAGGCATGGCCTGTGGTGGTAGTGGGGTCAGGGGAGACGGGTGCTAGAAATCCTTTGGGCAGCTGGGGCACGAACTGCCCAGGTCCTACAGAGCACCATCATGGACGGGGCGACCGTGTGGCTTCCGCTTCCGCCTCGACCTCTGCCTCCCTCCCACCTGCCTGACTCAGGCCTGCCCGGAATGCCATGCCTGGGGGCCTTCAGCCCTACCGGGTGAGCCCTTGGCCCTGCTCAAGCCCCGCCAGGTGTGTGTGACTGGTCCTGGCCAGGGTCAGCAAGGGCATGTCCGTAGAAGGCGTGTCAACGGCCTCGTTGGTGCAGGGTCAGAAAGCTTTTCGGTGCGTGCCCTGCAGTGACCACGGGCTTGGCTGTGCTTGCCTGGGCGGCCTGTCTTGCCTCAGCCTCTTTTCTGTGTTTGTGGTGTAGTAAGATCTGTGTGAGCCGGGGAATCAGACAGGCATCCAGGTGCTGTGCCAGCTGGGAGTCTCAGTTCTTGCATCTGCGAAATGGGAACGTGCAGCCCCTTCGCAGAGGCAGGTGGTTAGGGCTGGATGGGAGTGTAAACAGTGCCTTAGAGTGAGCCTCTCCTCCTCTTTGCTTTGGGAGGCACACCCTCATGGGAGGAGGGGAGAAGGGATGGGGTAAAGTGGCCCCAGCCTGACCTTTGCCCTGGGTTCTTGGACAAGAACCCTGATGGGGGCTGGGCATCCCTGGCACTTAATCTCAGCACTCACCCCTACCCCGTCCCCCAGCCGGTGAAAACTGTAACAGGGTGGAGGGCCGGTGTCCTGTTCCTCTCCCAGTCCAGCTGCCCTCCTGGGGGGAGGGGTACCAGCTGCCACCTGTTGGCCAAATGCTGTCTGAGGCAGCTGCCTGCCTCCGCAGGGCCCATAACCCTCTCCCCAGGACAAGAGCTAGGATATTCTGGGGTCCTAGGGAAGTGGGTACCTGCAGGCCTCTGGCTGAGAACAGGTCTAGTGAGAGAGGGAGGCCGCCCTGGTTGAGGGGTGGGACCTGGGTTCTCCTTTCCCACAGCTGGAGCCTGACTCTGTCCCCTCCGCCTTCACAGTGAAGGAGTCTTCAAATGCCCTGAGGACCAACTTCCTCTGGATTATGCCAAGGTGAGTCCGCAGTGCCAGGCGGCGGCCCCGGTTATAGGCTTTTGCCCTTGGTGGAGGCTGGAGCTGCTGGCAGCCAGTTGGCTCAGGGCCAATGTCAACCCGGTGCTGTGGAATCATGTGCCCCCACAAAGGTGGCCCCTTCCCTCCCACCAGGCCAGTTTGCAAATGAGGCCAGTGTTTGCCCTGGAGGGCAGGCAAAATGCCCAGCCTGTGGGGGTGCACAGAGCAGCTCTGTGCTCACAGGACGTGCTCCCCTCCCCTTTGGGTGGTGAGCCAGACTCCTGGCTGGGGGCCAGAACCCCTCTACCAGGAGGAAGGAAGCAGAGGATGGGGAGGCTGCCTGGAACTGAGCAGGCTCATTGGTTGCCACTCCAAAGGGAGTGTCCTGTGCAGGCGTGTTGGGGACCCCTGGTATCTGGCTTTGGAGCAGATACCTGCTCTGCCTTCCGTCCCTCGCCACAGAGGGGGCTGTAGCTCAAGAGAGGCTGTCACTGGCTCTCAGGTGGAGCTGGCCCGTCTGGGGGCGGTCAGGGTGGGAACTGGGCACGGTAGCGGGCTCTGACCCTGTCCAGTTCCTCCCCGTCTACCCAGATCTACCCAGACCCGGAGCTGGAGGTGCAGGTGTTGGGGCTGCCCATCCGCTGCATCCACAGTGAGGAGGGCTGCCGCTGGAGTGGGCCGCTGCGCCACCTGCAGGTGAGTCTCTGGTGGGAGGGACGGGACTACCCCTTCCTCGGCAGGCACTGACTGTCTCCCTCCGCCTCCCGCTCCCCCCCAGAGCCACCTGAACACCTGCAGCTTCAATGTAATCCCCTGCCCCAATCGCTGCCCCACGAAGCTGAGCCGCCGGGACCTGCCCGCGCACTTGCAGCACGACTGCCCCAAGCGGCGCCTCAAGTGCGAGTTTTGTGGCTGCGACTTCAGCGGAGAGGCCTTTGAGGTGGGGGGGGGGCTCGGCGGGGGGGCTGAGTGGGGCACCTGGTGGCCCAGGGACCCCCTAAATCGGCCTCTCTGGCCTTTCCACAGAGCCACGAGGGTGTATGCCCCCAAGAGAGCGTGTACTGTGAGAACAAGTGCGGTGCCCGCATGATGCGGCGCCTGCTGGCCCAGCATGCCGCCTCTGAGTGCCCCAAGCGCACCCAGCCCTGCACCTACTGCGCCAAGGAGTTCGTCTTCGACACCATCCAGGTGAGGCCCTCCCAGAGCTGCGGGCTGTGGGGCAGGCG